TTAAACATAAATATTATAATTATATATTTATTTATTTAAATATAAACATATATATTTTCGGGTTGGGTTCGGGGATGGGGACGCCAATACCATCCCCTCCCCATACCCGTCGAGGATTTTTCAAGTTCGGGGATCCCCGTACCCGATACCCGTTTAGCCCCTAAATCTTCCCCCGGTAGGGTCGGGGACCCGCCCCCGCGGAGATTTTTGCCATCCCTAAAAGGGGGTACCGTGGAGGTGGTTGGGGGCAGTAAATATTAGGGAAATAGCTCAAAATGCCACCTATTTTATAATTTTTTGTGAAAATACCACCCCTCCCCCAAAATTTTAAAACTATCACTTATAAATACATTTTTATTGTCCATTGATTGCACATATATCGCATTTTTAGAAATTTTGTTCTCTCTCACCTCTCTTGGCTCCATCTTTCGCTGTAGCTCAGCTCTCACTCTCTCTTCGCTCTATCTCTCTGTGGCTCAAGTCTCAGTCCGTCTTCGCTTAGCCCTCACGCTCTCTCTCTCTCTCTCTCTCTCTTTGTGACGCAGTGGTCTTCCTCCCTCAACGGTGTCTGTTCATCGAAGCTGAACTCCACTATTCACATCCAAAAGGTACTGTTCATCGTCATTTTCTTTGGGTTTAGGGGTTTCTTCGAAATTGATTTAGGGTTTAGGTGTTTGTTTGAAATTGGTTTAATGATTTGTCTGAAATTGGTTTAGGGTTTATAGGTTTTTATGAAATTGGTTTAGAGGTTTCTCTGAATTTGGTTTAGGGTTTAAGGATTTCTCTGAAATTGTTTGATTGTGATGATTCCTTGTTTGAAACAGTGAAGGAGTGTGTTCTTTGTTCTTCGTCTGAAACTGCTGTTGTTTTGTTGCTGTTATTGGTATCGTATTGCTGTTTTATTGATGTTGGATTATCATTTTAGTGGTATTATATTGGCATCGTAGTGCTGTGTTATTGTTAGTTTATTATTGTTTTATTCCCTTTCCCTTGTGGTTTTAATGGTTTTGGCGATTTATGCAATTGAATTTTGTGTTTGTTTGTTGTTTTTGTTTCATCTAAAGAAGGGAAATTGTAGGTGTTCATTTATAGTCTCTACATTAGGCACATGAATCTTTGTAGTTTGTTTTTGCAGTTGCAGTAGCTTTTGTTGGAATTTTAATATGAAGCAATATTTATTTTCCTATTTCAATGAAAATTAATAGAGTTCATTGGACGATGGTGTCCTTTGTCAATTTGTAGGAAGAGGTATCAAAGCACCTATTTATTCAATTGATGAATTAGTTGGTTTTTTTATACGATTTGCAGTATTGGAGATGTGCCACAACAACGTGATGGGTAGGCTATGTGAATTTAGTGCAGTTTATCGATATTGTACATAACTGCAGTTCTAATTTCTATACTTATTGGCCCGACAATACCTCGTGCGGAATCATAACGGTCAAATTCATTAAGCATCTTAATCCCGGCATTTCGTTGGATAAAGTTGAATCTTCGAAGATTACATATTACCGACTCAAACTTGCAATTGAGGCTTTAAAGGGGGAGGCATATATATGAGGTAAATATGATAATGTCAGTGAATTAAGTTCAGTCTTCACTTATCACTTGGGAATTCACTGTGCTCCTTAATTATGTCAGGAAATCCTTTATATGAAGATGCATACATCGAACTGTGCTAGAGATGCTTTATATGGTCATCCATACATTTTAATAGAGCTATTTGGTTTAGGTATTCTGTGTAGCAAGGTGAAATGTAATATTGTACAGTCGGTGGCAGTGGCTAATTGCCTTACATGGCACATACATTGATTCCATTTTTGGGTTTTGTTTTCGAGTTGCAATCATGGTTAGCCTATTTATTATTTAGATTATGAAGTTAAACTATTTCGTACTGCTTGATATATAAGCATACTTGCTCTTTATGGAGGTATAACAGTTTACTTGTTTGAAACGACGTGTTCATTTCCACTGACTTCTACTCTTTTTTGTATCCTTTTTTAACATTTGGTCCGTAATTTTGTTCATTTTTCTGTGCTCAATCCAATCATATACATAACACAAAATTTGCATAATGGGTAGAAAACAGAGGAAGTGCATAAAACGCAATAAACTGGTGATACAGTGGCGATATAGTGGCAATAAAAGGGTGTTGGAAATTGTTGTTTGTGTTTATTTTGGGTTTTTTGTTTTGTTTTATTTCATTTACTCATCTTGACCCATTACTAATTAATAATGGGATGATTACGAGATTAATTTGTGTCACTTATTAATACAACAATTACATATATGAAGATTAAGTCGAACAACATATCATATCATCAAACATAATCATACCACCAAATACAATCATGCTTTTCTTCAACCCATCACCAAGCATTTGCATATTTATTCATACCTTCCTTTTTTTTTCTAAATAATTTTTTCATACTTATAATTTTTAATAATTATTTCTTACAATGTCTTACGGTGTAATTATGATGCATTTTTTTTTTTTCTAAATAATTTTTTCATACTTATAATTTTTAATAATTATTTCTTACAATGTCTTACGGTGTAATTATGATGCAGCTAAGTGCCTCTTTTTGAAAGGCACGTTGTTCATTTCTCCTCTTGTTGTTTTCGAATAAAATAGGCCCTAAACTCTAAACCCAATGACGAGCCCTAGTCAATATACATACAATAGAACCACAATATGTGGGCAATATACAGACAATCTAGTGGCAATATGAGAGCAATATAATTACAATATGGTAGCAATAACTATCGTTGGGATACATGCAATAGGGTGGCAATTGGAGTCAGAGGTGGAGATGGGAACGGCACATGCCACAGCTGGTCTCTCGAGTAACTGACATCTTCGTTTGGAGGCCGTATGTCCGACATCTTTGTTTGGAGGCCGTATGTCCGACATCTTTAACTATTGTTGGGGACAATTGACAACTGCAGTATGCAAAAACAAATTTCAAAAGGTACATTCAGTCTCACAATTGTATTTATTGAAAACTTGTAGACAAAAATATGGTCAGCTTTACTGGAGAATGTTTGTCTTTGTGTAAGTGCAGAATAATGACCTTTCCCAAACATCACATTAAGAAGCTGCCTATGCTTCAGTTATGTATAGGAACTTGTCTATTTTATATTGTGTTCAAGGAGTTAGTTGCATGTCTATATATGACGAAATTGGGTATGTAGTTGGTGAATTAAATTGATTGGATTGAAATGTACACCATTTACTCCTTGGCTGTAATTTAGAGCATTAGAGCATTACAATAATAGCAATAAAATTGGATTTCAGGCCAAAAATGGATTCTGTAACTAAGCAATTTGTGGAAATTTTAAAAACATAGAAAACGAAATTGCCAAATTGGAAAATCGGAAAAATTACCTTACTGGGAAATGCCCAATTTCTGAATATACTCAAATCACAGAAAGATTGAAAATGACAAAATCTAAAGAACAACGAAAATATAGAAACGTGATATGGCCGAAAAACAAATACAAAGCACTGCATATAAAATTGGAAATTTGGGAAAATACCAAATTTGTATTACCAATATGATGTACACGATCTAACAATTCAGCAAATGTGATGGTCCGTGGAACTATTAAGCCATTTGAGTCACCCCCTTCATATTTGAACATCTTCTTTGAAGTTACCCATTTTCCATTGTAGCAAACCAGAATAACAATTGTCTCCATTTTCGACCATGACAAAACAACATTTCATTACCACAGTACAACCACAATAACTAGGCAATAAGAAGGCAATACAACAGCAATATAAAGGTAATAAAACCACAATATAATAGCAATATAACAACAACATAACAACAATACGACTGCAAAATAACTTGAACACAACAGCATCAACTACATCAAACGAAAAATCCCAAGTTTCCAGATTCACATATCCAGATCAATCTAAATGCAATTGGTCAAACCCAGATGGATGAGCATGAAGATTCAAAAAACCTAACCGAAAGCAATTAAACCCAAAACCAATTTAACAGAATCCCAAGCAATCAAACAAAACCTATTTCGCATAATCCCACAGATATTAAGAAAATAACCATCAACCCTACCTTTTCAAGGTCGCCGATCCTGTAGAGCTTCAAGGTTGCAAGCACCTATTTAGAAGATATACCTAAAATACGGGTTCGTGATTCAAAAGAGAGAGCGAGACAGAGCTGCGAGAGAGAGAGAGAGAGAGAGAGAGAGAGAGAGAGAGTGAGAGACATATAGCTGCGCCAGAAAGAGAATAAGAGAGGTGAGATAGACCAAAATTTCTGAAAAAAGTGATATGTGTGTAATCAATGAACAATAAAAATGTATTTATAAGTGATAGTTTTAAAATTTTAGGGGAGGGGTGGTATTTTCACAAAAAATTATAAAATAGGTGGCATTTTGAGCTATTTCTCAAAAATTTATACATGCTCAGAGAGAGAGAGAGAGAGAGAGAGAGAGAGAGAGAGAGAGGAGGGGGGAGGGGAGGGGTCCTGTGCGATGCGTTTTGGAGGCGGGTGGTGTTGGGGAGAGAGGTCTTGTTTTTTTTCTTTGAAAATGGAAAGACTAAAGTACCCTTAAAAATGGATGGAAAATTGGGTAATGTTAAAGTCAAATGACAAATCATGGATTTTGAAAAATTAAGGTGACATTGCTCTTAAATTTTTCTTTAAGATAACAAATTGAAATTGAGATATAAATTCAAGTGACATTTCTATAAAAATCTCTTATGAAATTGGGACGCAAATTTTGGCTATTTTTTATAAAAACTCTTTGTTTAACCCTCACACACAAGGAAGTCCGGCGGGCCATGTCTGAGTTTGACCCAATCAGCTGTCTGTCGCACGAGCATACGTAATTAAACCTACAACTCATCCTCGATGCCGCATATATGACCAAGCAAGTACAAATTCGTTTGTCTTTTTTTCTTTCTCACTTGATAATTAATCATTATTGTTTTTCCTAACAAAACAAACCGACCACTAAAAAAAAAGAAAAAAGAGAGCCCTTTTCTGATCTCTCCCACATAGTGGGATTTGGGAGCCCCAAGGGACAAAAAGACGCAGGGCGAGGACGCAGCGTAAGACGGGTGCACCGAGGTGCAGGAGATAGAGGCTGCGGAGGGGGAGGCCCAGTTAACAAAATAAATGAAAGAAAATTGAACGAAGACGAAGTAGACGCCAGAGGTGAGGTGAGACGCGGGTGGTTGGTTTTGGTTCTCCGAGCCTCTCTCTATCTCTCTCTCTCTCTCTCTCACTTTTATCTTCAACTCTCATCCACACCACACCACACCACACCACACCACACTTCTCATTTCTCCACAAACTCCTCTCTCACTCTCTCTTTCACTCTCCTCCTTCCCTCCCTCTCTTTATCTGTACCTTCTTTCTTCTTCTTCGTTTTCAAAATGGCTTTGCAGTCAGTGGCTCCGATTCCTCAGCTGGTTCACTGCTCCAATAATGGCCGCTCACCCGCCCAGCCTCTTCGGAACGGGCTCTTCGTCGTCGATTTCGTCGGGCTCTACTGTAAATCGAAGCGGACCCGCAGGAAATTCGGAGCCTCCGAGCATCGGTCCTTCCCTCAATTCGTTTCCAGGAACTACTCGGTCAAAGCTGTTCTTGACCTTGGACGTAGCGATGCTGCTTTGGATCAATCAGCTGCTTCTCCTTCTTCGGATTTGAAGCCAAAGGTATGCTTTCAGACTTTGAGAGGAGGAGGTGTTTGGTTCCGATCCTAACAAACCGTTTTCCCGGGAAAATAGAAAATGGGATTTAAGAACAGAGTCAAACGTGTTCCTTGTGTTTGTTTTCATTGCCCTTGTTTGGTGTTTGCGAGCTTCTTTTATTTGATATGCAGTTGTTCTTCAAGGTCTTAAGCCACTGTTTGTTTGGGCTTTTGGAAGTATCTATTTTTCATCGCTTTGAAGCGTTAAAGTCTTTCTGACTTTTGCTAAACGCAAGATGAATGATTTCAGTTACAAATAGTGAACTAATGTAGTCAAAGAAATGCTCAGGGATGTTTCCTAAGTACCACGCTATAATTCATGTCTGCGAGTTGGATATGCTTGTCAAATGGTGCTTCTTCATAACTGAAGGCAGTATTGTGATTATTTGAGTCTTTCTCCACTGACTACATCAACCATATTAATCAAAGAGACAAATAGCATAGGCATGTCCTGGTATGCTACCCAGTGGCATGGCATATTAATCAAATAGCATAGACATGTATGGAATGTCTGTATATATGTTTTACCCTTACAGGTGTCCTTCCTTTGTCAAACATTGTCATGACATACCTGGAGGAGATTTTGTGCTTCCTAGATTTATCTATACTAGAGTAAAATTTAAGGTGTCAAATTAATTACAAACATGATGATAATAAGAAAGATCAAAATAGAATTTCTCACTGCAATATCCTCTTAAGCAATATCTTCATCTTATCATAAAATAAGTAAAAACTTCTGTCTACTTTTCATTTCAATATACTAGATATGATGCAGTCTACTTTTGACAATCTTCATTACAGAAAATTCTTGCTGGAACACATACATATGAGATAATATGCTACCAAATTACAGGTTGCCGCCTTACCTACTATAGTTGATAAGTATTATAGAAGAGCTTCGGAGTTCTTTCCAGTGATACCCTTCAGTTCCAGTTTTGGTGTTTTCCATTGATTAATTCTTAAAAATAGTTTTTAGTACCTTGACGAAACATATGTGTGGTTTACCTGTATATTTTTTTTGGCGAAATATACAAAAATGAGGATTGATATCTGATACACCCCTAGGAGAGTTTCTAATACACAATAGGGTGGTTATTTAGTTTCTCTGCATGAATATGTGTTAATTGAAACTCTACAGCTGTAATATGAAATATTAATTCTAAAAGTAAACCATATATAAAGTTTGCAGGATATTACCCACTAATATGCCAGAAATTTAGTCGTCCTAAGGTTGTACTCTGTATAAGAGTTTTGTATGAGTAGAATTTGTGAAAGAGACAATTATCCCATAGTTGGTGTGTCAAGGGAATTTTGAAATCTTGGGTTGGGAGGGAGGGGGGAGGCATGACCCCCTTCAGCCCGAACTATGTTCCACCAGTGGTTGTGCGGGATAGCTGTCAATCGTTTCCATTGTCTTGAGGACCAAGCAAGAGAGAGACTTATTTCACGAAAGTTTATTGTCTTTCATGAAAATTTGTTAGAAACTTTGACCCTCTGTTCTCTTCCACTTTCTTTCTTTTCTGGCCCAGTAGTTGTTTATGCATTTGGAATGAGTTATTGCAAGCCCTTATTTCTAGAAAATCAAATTCCATGCTCAACAGGTTGCAGACTTGCATGATATTATAGCAGAAAGGGGAGCTTGTGGAGTTGGATTCATTGCCAATTTGGAAAACAAAGCATCCCATGGGATTATTGAAGATGCTCTAACTGCTCTTGGCTGCATGGAACATCGAGGGGGCTGTGGAGCAGATAATGACTCTGGTGATGGTTCGGGATTGATGAGTTCAATCCCATGGGATCTATTTGACAATTGGGCTAACAAGCAAGGGATTTCTTCCTTTGACAAGTTGCACACTGGTGTTGGAATGGTTTTCCTCCCAAAAGATGACGACCTTATGAAAGAAGCCAAAAAAGGTGATTTTTTTTATAATCCTTGAATTAAGTGGGTCACAATAATTTATTTCTGTTTTCACTGATAGAATAATGTGCATAATTCTTGAATTTTGGTTAAGGTCTGCATGAGTTATTTTTAAAGCAAGTCAACCCTCCTCCTCACCCATCAAGATGATTTTTATCTTATTTTCGGTCTGAAGATGGTTTTGGTATTATCTCTTAAATTCTCTGGCAAAGGTATCCAGAGAGAAGCTAAAAATTTATTCCTATTCAAAAGAAGATCGTATCTCTTCTTTTAAAAAATCTATGTTTTTTTTTCTTCAACCAAACAATCCACAAAAGAACCAAAATCAAGCACCGCAATGAGTGGTTTCCTTTTTGTTGGCCTCTAAATGCAATAACCTTTCTACCGACAAGGACAAGCCCATACCAGTCCAGACATATCTAACAACTTGGCCTAAATTTGCCGTGTGAAATTGCAATGCGAGAAAACATCAACATCACCCTCTCCCTCCATTCTACACAAAGCGGACCAGTGTTGAGATTAACATACATAAGGGCTTGTTTGAATCATACAAGTATTTAGCTTCGCATGAACCACCACCCAGGTAGGGACTTGTATTTTAGTGGGTACTACACCAACCTTATAAATTCAATAACTTGTCCTCCATATTATTATTGTTAGTCTTTTGCAATCCTATTTTTCTATACTAGTTAATGAGTTTGGACAGACTATTTGCTTCAAAGCTAGCTAATCCAGTCATTTGGTCAGTATTTTGTGTCTGGTTTCTGCCCTCACATTGAATAAGCATGACTCGTGTAAGGTGTAATGGTTAGGTCACATCTCATGATTTCCATAGCCCATTTGAGGTTTTTAATTTCACATACCTCAGTTAAAAAAAAAAAATGATTTGATTAGATTTAAAGCCTTTTTGTTTCTCAATGTAAGTTTCTTGATGAACTGACCAATATTGATTTATGAATAAATAGCAGCAAAATAGTAGATGGGAGATAAGAAACGGGTGCTCATTCTTTCTTATAATTTATTCGTAGCAATGAATAATCTTTGTCGATTACTAGAAGAAACGTAAATTTATATGATCGAGTTCTTATTTCTTTCGACAATAATACTAATTCAATTTTGAAGCATACGTACTTATCTCTATCTCTGTCTAGCTTTTCTACATGCATCTCTCAACCATCTGTCTATTTATCTATCAGTTTCTGTCAGTTCTGTTTGCCATAATTTCTGAGTTAAGTTCAGTCTATTCATATAATCTGTTGTTTGACTGTAAATTCTGTTTTCTTTGTAGTTGTTGTGAATATTTTTAGACAAGAGGGTCTTGAAGTGCTTGGATGGAGACCTGTTCCTGTGAATGCTTCTGTAGTTGGTTACTATGCAAAAGAAACAATGCCCAACATACAACAGGTATTCGTCAAAGTTGTTAAAGAGGAAAATGTTGAGGACATTGAACGAGAACTGTACATATGCCGGAAGTTAATTGAGAAAGCAGCAAGCTCAGAAAGTTGGGGAAATGAGCTTTATTTCTGTTCTTTGTCCAATCAAACAATAG